TTACACCCGGCCGAAATCCCTCAACTTTATACCCTAAACACACTGAGAGTAGTACTCGTTGAGAACCTGGCAAGTCGAGCCAGAAGCACAAGTCGTCGAGCCGGTGTATCCAATGCCACCGCACTGGCCGTACCTGGGCACGGTGCTACCGCCGGAACCTCCTCCTGCTGCCGTGGTAGTTGTCGTCCTGGCAGTGGTCGTGGTAGCCGGGGCCGCCGCCGTTGTCGTCCGAGCCGTGGTGGGGCTGCTTCCGCCGGCACCTCCGGGCGCCGTCGCGCTGGATGTCGCGGTCGGCCGGGCGGTGCTCTGAGCAGCAGTCGAAGACGAAATCCCCGCCGCCAAAGTAGGGCCGGGAATCGGGTATACCAGAGGCGAAGTGTACAGGTTGAACAGAATTCCGGGGTCGTCGGACTTGTACAGAGCCGTGCCCTTGACACCAGCCGGAGCGAGCGAGCCGCCGCCAGTGACCTGCAGGTTGAAGCATTGCGGGTATGCCTGGGCGCCGTTGACGTTGCCGCCAGAGTGCAGCGCGATGATCTCGTGGCGGAGAACGTAGTTGCCTGGGGCCAGGTTCGATGGAATCTGGACGGTCCAGGTGAAGTTGTTGGCCATCAGGACATCGTCGGCCCACTTGCCGTTCGAGAGCGACATGTCAATGAGACCGCCGGCACTGATCTTGAAGAAGTTCAGCGAGGTCTTGTCGACGGACTCGCAGTTGCCGCTGCACTTGGCAAGGTAGTCGATCACAGGGCCCTTGTGGGACTCGGGCCATGTGTTCCAGACGAGCTGGATCTTGGCTCCCGCAGGGACGGTGGCATGGCCGCCGGCGGGAGATCCGTTCTTGTGGCAGATGATATCGCCTGTACCGAAGTTGACTGGCTCGACGAAACCGTTGTCAGGGGCATCGATCTTCCATCCGACGACCGGGTATGTGGGAGGCGAATACGTGAACGCAGGAGAGTCCCAGCCGCGGTAGGCGACGTTGTCAGCCACTAGCCAGTCAACATGGCCGTGCGAGGCGACCAACGTTGCCAAGGATAGCAACAGAGAGGAGGGAGTGATGATGCCCATGGCCAGCTTGAACGTCTGAGAAGACCGATAAGCGTGTCTCGAGTTGAAAGAAGGGGCCCGGCTTGTTGGATGATGAGCGGTGTCGAGTTCAGGCAATATGCACTCTAGGAGACGAGAGGCACGGCATATATAGTGCATCACCCGGAGCCGGAGAGACGCGTCGACTGAGCCGGAAACTCGGCAGTCGATATTGAGTGAACACCCAAAAGGGCAAGTTTATTGATGACAGAAACCTGAGTCGGACATTGTGCCATCGTGAAAAGCTAGGCTGAATCGCTGCTCAGCAATGTAGGGCCGCCTTCCGATTCTCGGGCACCAATAAGCAGGGCAAACGTGCCATTTCCCCGCGGGCTGTCGCGTTGTCCCTTGCTTCCCCGTGGGCGACATCTGTCACGAGCGCATGGCGCGCGGCGCCACGATGGGACACATTCATCCGGAGTGCCTGAATAGGATGCCGGGTCTTGGTGTTGTGCTGACGATTACTGATTGGGAGCCACCACATGAGAGTGCGTGGATGCGGTCAAGGGAGGGCACGTGTAGCCCTGAAACGTCGGTAACGAGGCGGCGCCATCGAAGAAGAAAACTGCAGAATCAGGAAATCTCGGGTGGCTTGCACCGAGAAATGTGACGGCGGGTTGGAGCCGGGGTTGCATCGGAGGACCGGGGATGTGCGGTTCCTCTGATTGGTGGGTGAGAGACACTGGACCACCCGGAGGATGTTTATATATTGCCGGTGGCTCCCTCCTCGCGAGTCGCTTTCTCGTTCTAGTAAGTCTTTGTCATGAGATTTGTCGGCTGGTTGCATCCACGAGAGCCTGTTAATACTCAGGATGCCGACTTTCTGCGCCTCATGGAGCGGGAGCTTCGCAGACTAGATTTTGGACGAGAGTCTCGAATAAGCAGATTAGTAGTTTCTCAATTTCAAATAGCCTCCAAGATAACACAAGACAAGTGATGCCCAACTATCCGTCACGAGTTTCAAATAACTGGCGCTTTTTGCCTAGCTTCGAAGGTGTCGAAGCCAACCCCTGCAGTGCCAAGCCTGTGATGTCGAACCATCCCAGACGCGCTTAGTGAGTTGGGATACTTATATACTGAGGGCCACCTCTGAAGATAACGTGAAATTCGTGGGCCAGTGAAGCCCAAAGTAGATGGATCGTGGCTGATAGAACAGTCGCAAGAGGTAAACTGATTCTTGTTGCCTTCACAGAGATACGCAAGCCGCCGCGCCGCCAGCCAAGCAACTGCCTATTCCTCGGAAGGGTAGATTGAAAGATGGAGTTTTATATGAGAAATATTCAACTGGCCGGAAAGGTTTGAAGAGACCATTTGAAAACAGGCTACTTCAATGATTCACAATGTTCCATTTTGTCTCGTCGCCGGTGACTGTGAACCCCTGAATATTGTCGTTTCCATGGTTGGCAAACTCCATCCAGATATCTTTGAGCCTGTCACCTAAACCGTCCATAGCGTCTTGAGATGCTTCTCCTTCTATCATTGGTGCAGATTTCCATGACTCCCATGAACCAAGGAGGAACGGTAGCTCGATGCAGTGGGCCGCCCGCAGTGAGCTATGTGAAGGGTGCCACTGGAAGCGGTAGAGTGTTGCCTGACCCTCCGCCTCCAAGTATTGCTTGTGGAGGCGATCGGTGAGCCATGTGAACACCTTTCCAGAAACGAACCAAGCTGCAAGTCGCTCGATGAACTGTCCAATCAAAGGCAGATTAGCATAAGGACGCAGGGTCTTGTTCATTCGGACGAATGGGACGCCTTCATCCTTCGTGTATCCAAGCATGATGGGTATTCGCTGCGCTACCAGGCGGAGCTTCTCAGGTACATCTGTATGGTCGGGCAATGGTCCATGCCCCATAAGCGGACCGAATGGCAACTGTCCCGTAGCAGTGAGCAGAAGCTCAGTCTGTAGAGATAGCATCTCCTGGGAACTCCTTGGCCTGGTATCGGTCGCGAGTCTTTCTTGGGCAAGGCGGCCCAACGACCAAACCATCTCTTCACGGTCTGGCGTCCATATCTCCAGAGGCGCACTTTGTAATATGGCTTTGTGGAATAGGCCATCAGTCCCTTCTGCAAGCATAAGACAGTAGATGGAACCTGCTCCGGCGGATTGTCCAAGGAGCGTGACGTTGTCAGGGTCGCCGCCGAACGCAGCTATATTTTTCTTGATCCAGCGAAGAGCTTCCACTTGGTCCAGCAACCCAAGATTTGCGGGAGCGATATCTGGGATTGGCTGAAATCCGAATACTCCAAGTCGATAGGAGATGTTGACGCCAACGACCCCTCTCTCCACTAGGCCAGTTGGTTGGTAGCAATCCAGGTCTGCGCCACCCGAAACGTAAGCCCCTCCGTGTAGATACGCCATGACCGGCAGCTTCTGTCCGCCCGAAAGCGCATCGACAGTTGTAGTTACTGTCACATGTAGACAGTCTTCGTCTTGGTCGCGCCCTGCTGTGATGGGCCCGGTGACAAAATCTAGCCGGGAAGGCACAGTCTGAGGGCAGATTGGAGATGGACCGGTACAGTCCTTTATGTCGTGCCATTTGCCAACAGGGGTAGGAAGCTGAAAGCGACTTGCGGATGCATATCGAATTCCTCGAGCTCGAATAAGCTGATCACCACACGCAACGGATATTTTACCTCCGGGGAGATCGATAATTTTGTTGTTCATTGATGCGATGATGATAGACCTGTCTCCAGACTCGAAGCTATCCCAAGGTATGCGTTCCGGTCGCAGGACGGTGTGGGAGAGTCTCCGCAGCTGTGAAGCTTATCCGATTATCAAAGAACTTACCCCGACTTGAAATATCCGGATTCCGTGCTGATTCTGTGCCGCTCAAGCCACATGTACCACGTGCCCAGACTCACACAGCCACTGACGTCTCCCGCCTCACCTATCCATCGACTTCGCCGAGTTGCCCGCTTCACCGAGACATTCACCGCTCATGCAGCTACTTTCCAAGAGAAAGCCACTTTTTGAGACGCCCACGTTTCAATGCAGGATAATTCCATCCCATTAGCGGTAATGATCAGTGGGACTGGAAAATCCTCTCTGGGAGGAGGGGGAAAGCATTTCGAGTGCTATTTTCTGTAAGAGAGAGAGAGTGTTTGTTCATCCTTGTCTGCGCCCGCCCTTTCGAAGATCTCTGTGATCCAGGAGCTGTCGCATGTTGTGTCAACCTTCTATTAAACTTTTCAATCGCCCGCGTTGAACTGGCGATTCGATGGGGAACTTTGAATCATATCGTGCTTCCATCACATTGTGAGTTTTGATATCTGATTAATTAGGCAGATATTACAAGCTGTCTGGGCCGGTGGTAGGTAAAGATGATAACAGGGACACCAGGGACGATAGAGATAAGAATTCTCAGAATGAAATACATTTCTCGACACGTAGTATAAGCATTTATCCCCCCGATTATTAGCGAGGAGTCTCCGCCCGGATAGGAAGACTCGATGTTGTCGCATACTGTGCGGATATGGCTTCCAAGTAAAAGTACCAAGTTTGATCGGTCAGCCTAGGAAGTTCTCAGTAAGCTTGACCGCCGTTTGCGTTGAGACAGAAACAGTCGAGCTTACACCTGTTGGCTGTGCCACTGGCAGGGGTGATTGAGCTTACCCGTGTCTGCGATTGGCACTGGACATCTCAAATTGTCTCAAGTTGAATGACATTCGTCACTTGTAGCCAATCAATTGCTCCGAAATGCATGGCGAAGCGGGGAGTCACTGCGGCTGAGGCCAGACAGGCAAAGCTGGGCGTCAGCAGCTCGTAGCCTCATTTTGACATGCTTCCTACTTCATCTATCCATCGGCATCTGCAAGTTAGGCCATTGACACCCGAGACTTGAACCGAATTCATCTTTGTAGACTTTTCATGGAAGTCAAAGTGTAATTGCACGTCAGGGAGCCCTACAGCCATGGCGTCCATCGGGAATGTCCCTGGCAGCTTGTGGGAAAAGGCTTTCCAACTACTGGATTCTGATACACAAAAGGGATTAGGTCCGTCCAAGACGAATAGACGTGATGTTCTGGTTAGTATCGCCCCCGAGCCTCTGAATCGATCATCTGGATCATTCGCTTATTATCATTTCCCTGAACAGAGCGCGGTACTCCAAGAGGTCGAAAAAGCGAGGGATTTGGCCCTACGGAAGAGATGGAAGTTCACAAAGCCCAACGGCGACGTAGTGATCGTTAGAGATGTGATGGAGAAGATCGCAGGATGGATTCAACGTTTCAAGGAGACCGGCGATGCGGCAGTGCAATATGACCCTGCTCATGCTGCATTGCCTTGGGCGGCATTTAGGTTCTTGTTGCAAACCACAGTGTCTGAAGTTCAAGTATTCACCGCAGTAGCCACAGACCGTGAGTACTTGAACAAACAACAGCTGAAGATATTAGAGCTAACCTGCCTCAAGTTGAAGACATTGCTCGAAGACTCGCGAGGTATCGCATGATCGAGAAGCTCCACGTGCGCGGGATACAGTCCGATATAGAAAGGGAGGTAGAGCGCGCTTTGATCCGCCTCTATGCAGAGATCCTGACCCACTTGAGCTACGCTGTGAGGTTCTACAGTAGAAAGAACAATCAGTAAGTATTCGTACTTTTTATCATTCAATTGATGACTTTCCACGCTGGCTGGTCTCGATGCTTGGACTGACATCAGGTTTCGCTAGCCCGGGCGCTCAAGAGTCCCTTCCGCACAGTCAAGGAAGACCGAAAAAAGGAATTGCAAGATCGAGAGCATGAAGTAAATCAGCTTACAACACTTGCGGACACGGATATACTTCGCTCACTTGATGGAAAATTTAAACGATTTCCCATGCAGTCGTCTGAGTTACTGTCCGAAGACAAATTCAACGACATTGCCTCATGGCTATCCGTCGCACCTTACTACTCCCATCACCAATTCATTGCCGAATCTCGCCTGGCAGGTGTCGGCCAATGGTTGCTCAACCACCAGGATTATAACCAGTGGTTCACCTCAAGCTCGTCCTCTCTTTTTTATCTCTATGGAATCCCTGGGTCGGGCAAATCGACTTTGTGCTCTGTGGTCGTGGATACCATGATTTCAGCGGCTGGCAACGACCCATCTGCGTCTCCTTTGGGGTATTTCTACTGCGCGAACCCCGAGTTCCAAAAGGCGCGTCGTTCGTGTGACGATGTCTTAAGTACTATACTGTTTCAACTTTCCATCGATCCTTCGAGTCGGACGACGGTGAAACAGTTTCTTTGCTCGGGGTATGAGCGACAACTGGCCCGATCTCCGGCCGGTAGGTTTGATATGATGAAGCTCCAGACCAAAGACTATGTGCGACTTATACTGGAACTGGCCGAAGAAGATCCTATCACAATCATCATCGATGGTCTCGATGGTATCGATGATGATAATAGATATACGCTCGTCAAGGCCCTCGATGATATGGTCTCCCAGGCCGACAATGTGGTGAAGATTTTCGTCACGAGCAGAAGCTCTAACCGCGTCGCCATGAAACCAACAGCCGCTTTCAAAATCCAAATCACTCCTGAGTCGACGAGACAAGACATGGAGGCTTTTATGAGGCATCAAATTGACGCCGCGCTGGCAGCCAAATTGCTGCTCGGGGGAGTTGTCAGCTTCGACACCCGCAAGGTTTTGGAGGAAGCACTACTTGAAGGTGCCGGTGAGATGTGAGTTGCTACTCCAAGAGTGTTTTCCACAGCCCTGGAAAAAGCTGTGCATAGAGTTTAAGCTGACGAATGAAAGGCTTCTCTGGGTCAAACTCTACATGGAGCGAATATGTCATGAAACAGTTGAGGATGATGTCCTCTCCGCTCTCCGCGATAGACTCCCCGAGAGCATAGACCAGCTTTATCAAGGCTCACTTGACCGCATATCGCGAGCCCGGAATAAAGCCCGTGACCTTGCAATGAAGGCCTTGTCGTGGGTACTGCACATGAGAGAACCCCTGACCCCACCGGCTTTTTTTGGCGGCGCTGGAATCTGACCAGGATCCAACCTTGGATGCAGCCCAGCTGATGAATATTTATTATAATTTGGCTCTTCTGGATACTCAGTACAACGTCGTAAGGTTCTCGCACCAGTAAGTTCAGGTCTTCCTCAGAGGCCACGAGAGTTTTGCTTCGAGAACAGCACATAATCCTGGCGTCTATCTGAACATAATCTCATTTATGTTCGACAAAGACTGGCTAACGACGCTGTCCTTCGAACTCTGGATTGAAACAGTAAGTGATATCGTCATTTCTCTCCAAAGAAGCCATGAAATGATACCCGCTTTGTCCGCCATTTCCGATTCCGAAAACGGGTTTCTTTTCGTGTTGAGTACCTTCGGACTCGATGATGTCCTCAGGATAGGTCTGTCGCAGATTGATTCTATTGATACCAATCAACGGACCCAGGTAGGGTATACGCCTCTCTACCTCGCGTCTACGTTTGGGCATACGCCTACTGTGACGATCCTGGCGAGATATGGTGCCAAACTCAATGTCGAATGCGGGAAGTTCGGAAGCCCGTTGCATGCGGCATGTTTCAGTGGGCATTTACAGGTAGTCGAAAAGCTCCTGGAACTTGGAGCCGACACGACATGCGGTTCTAAGTTCAAAAATGCATTACAAGCTGCCTTGAGAGGCGGCCAAGAAGATGTAGCTGTGCATCTTGTGGATCTTGGCATTGCAATCACAAACGAAGAAGAGTATGAGGAAGCAATGCAAGGTGCTGCCTTGGTTGGTTTCGTCATAGTTGTTCAGTTACTTGAAAGCTCCAAATTCGAAACCCTCAAACGGGAAACCAAAGACAAGTTCAGGAAAAGGTCGTTGAAGGCGATCCAGGGCGGGCAGCTCGAAGTTCTTCGGCGATATTTTCACCGAAACATCGGAGACGACGATTTGATTCCTTCGGATGCTGTCGCTGTCGCAACTTTATACAATCATAAGGACTTAGTAGAGTTTCTTCTAGATCAGAAGATGGACGTGGAAGTTGAAGGGGCCTTTGGGTCTCCATTGAGGACAGCTGCATTGCTCAACTACCGACCAATGGTTCGTCTTCTGCTGGACAAAGGGGCAAACATCAATGCTTCCGGTGCTTTCGGCGATGCGCTCCAAGCTGCTGGACTAAAAGGACACGACAATCTTCTGAGACTTCTCATTGAAGAAGGTGCCAAAGTGAATCAGCAGACAGGGTTCTACGGATCGGCGCTTCAGGCTGCAGCATACCACGGTCGGCTGCGGTCTGTAGAGCTGTTATTGAATGCAAAGGCAGACGTACATCAAGCTGAATTCTCGAAGGATGCATTTCACGCGGCTGCTGCGGGCGGCCATGAAGACGCCATTGCGCTGATGCTCCGAAAAGGCTACTCTTACCAACGGCACTTCTTGTCCCAGGCGATGTGTATGAGGAGCCCACCACCTCGATACGTGTGTTTGTGGACGGCAGAAGTGCCCAGAAGTCAACATCGTTGTGGAAAGTCGCAGAAATACGACAAAAATACAGAAACCCACGATTTTCAGAAAGCTCGAAAACCCCTAACCGATTTCGAGGTAATTATCGGAGAAGGGCACGATGAATCAGAAACGTCGCATTCGAGCATCCAGCAGACTTCCCAACTGCAAGACCAAGCAGCAAAAAACGCCTGATTCTCTCCCAGCGGCAACGTTCGCAGGTCATATAAATATGGTCAAATTGCTTTTGGAACACGAGGATACCTTGGGCATATCTAGTCATCAGATCGATTTGGCCGTGGAGACAGCGGCGGAGGCTGGCCAATTGTCCATCCTTCAACATCTTATCGAAGCCACAAAATCTCAGAAGCAATTCCACGCCCATATCAGGCGCATGGTTCACAAAGGGCACGCAGCGCATCATACTGATGTGGTTAACTTCGCACTCGCATTGGCTTCGCAACATTTGTCGCCAGATGAATGTTCCACGTTGCAAGAAACAACTTGCACAGCAGCTGAAACATATCAGAAAACAGGCAGGAGCAAAAAGAAGCTACGCTCAAGTTTTTCCAAAAGCTGTGAATCGGGAGATATTCAGCTGATGAGTATCATACTTGAAACGGGAGATCAAGAGTTGCTGTCAGTAAAGGACGTTGAGGGCGGGCTGCATATGTGCGCTCTCCATAATAACCTCGCTGTCGCTCAAATGCTCCTAGACCGGCCTTTTTTTGCAAATTCAAAACTCAGTTTCAGCCGGAGATGTGTTCGTGGCAGCGGCGGCTAGTGGATCCACGGCTTTCATGAAGTTAGTTCTTCGCTATTGGCCGCAGCTGATGCCACCTTCTGGAATGACAACATTGAGTCGCGCGCTGGTGAAATCCAGTGAGAATGGACACATAGATGTTGTTCGCTACTTGGTGTTGGATCTGGGCATTGATGTGAACACAGTTTCACACGACAAACACTTAAATCTGCATTGGATAGGTGCAGACACAAAACTGGAGAAATTCTGGCACCGGATTTCAGGGGTCCAACGTCATCGCGGCATCGGACCTCGGAATGACATGGATAACGGGACCTTGATACCTACGATTTCACCTCTTCAAGCCGTGATTAGAGGGTTGGTCAAGTTTGACCCGGAAACGGACTGGGACCGGAATGATATAGGATGGTTGCATCAGAGGAGGCACTCGCCACCACACGCTGAACTGGATCAACAGGAGCAAACTTTGACTTTTCTTCTCGACAAGGGCTCTGATCCTAATGATCTTGGCGGACAAACGGTATACCCGGTGCAACTAGCTGCGAAGCACGGTTCTGAACATATCGTGGATCTCCTTATTTCAGCAGGGGCGGATGTAAACATGGAAGGCCGCGACAAGAACTTTTCTCCCGACCGGTCTCCGCTTGGTGATTCCCATCTAGGCTCGACAAACAACAAGAATCCACTTTTCGCAGCGGCTGGTCGTGAGCTATCGGCCCTGTCGATAGTGCGAAAGCTTGTGACTGCCGGGGCAATTGTGCCATGTCATCTTGACGAACAACACAGTCTCCTAGAACAGGCTCTCCGCTATTTCCATGGAAATGTTACCGGAAATCAAACCCATGGATCGTACCGATCTACAGACGGAAAATTTACCGTAACGCCATCCTTGGAGTATCTTTTCACGGAGGGGTGTGGTGGAGTTCTTTTTTTCTTCCTCACCCAAATGCCATTTGTCCGGACAACAAACATCCAATGGGGCCTCGTTTTACAAATGGCTGCTTTCATCGGAGACCTTAAAGCTGTTGATCTCCTCGTGTCCCGAGGTACAAACATCAATAGCATTGGGTACTTTTACGGGACGGCTCTACAGGCTGCATCCTCGCGTGGTCACGACAATTTAGTGCAAAGTCTATCGGATGCTGGAGCCAATGTCAACCTGATAGCAGGCCGGTGGAAGACACCTTTGAGAAGCTCTCTTGTTGCAGGTCACGAGCAGAGTGTGAACATCCTTTTCCAACACGGAGCCAGGGTAGACATGGAAATCCCATCGTCACAGAGCGACTCGGGAGTACAGACTGATCTGCAGTTGGGAGTTGCAAGCAAGGATGTGGAGATTGTCAAGGATCTCTTGTCCCAAGGGGCAGACCCGATTATTGACCCTCAGGAAGGACAACATCCTCTTATCATGGCTTCTGGAAATGGAAGTTTGGCTATCGTCCAGGAGTTGATTCAGGCCGGGGCGCCAGTGAATGTTCACGGGAAGAAAAGGAGGAGTTATATGTACTTTCAAGCTGCGGATGCGAGTCCGATGCATGCAGCCATTGCAAACGGCTCTTTGGACGTGGTCAAAGTACTCTTGGAAAACGGTGCCGACATCGAACTCAGTGTTCATGAATCAGGCACACCTCTCACTATCGCAGCTGCTAAAGGTCGGGTCTCGATCATGCGTCACTTACTACTGGCTGGTGCAAATGATAGCAGCAGCTCGGCTGTCAGGAAAGCTATTGAAAACAATCACCTCGACATTGTGAGAGTACTACTTGGAGAAGGAGCTCAGGCTATAAACATGCTCTCCGTGGCATGCGAGCGTGGTCGGACCAAAATGATAGAGCTGCTTATTGAAAGCATCCCCGACAAAGGCTCTTTAGAGACAGCCCTTGATGGGGCATTCGCCGTGGCAGGTCTCGCAAAATCTGTCATACGAGTCCTGCTTTGCTTCGCAGCACCGACAGCACAGCGTTTTCTCAAAGTTTCTGCAGTGGGATCAGCATTTTCTGTCAAGTTGATGCTGGAACAGGGTGATATTGACGTCAATCTACCAACAGAAGATGACGGCAATTTGCCGCTGCAAGTCGCAGCACTGAATTTGAATTTTGAGGCAGTACAGGTACTGCTTGAAATTGGAGCCCACACAGAGTGCACCAGTGCCGAACATGGCACGCCATTAATTACTGCCCTGGAAGTATGCGCTGTTTCGACGCTACGTACTGCGAAAGATGAGGGACTCCGGAAAATTGTCAACAGCCTCACCCTCCCAAATGCGCGAAAGCCATCACCTACCTGGGCTTTGGGAAGGGGGGATCACTACACTTCACAGTACAAGTCTATGCAGCAGTTATCCAAGTGCTCAGCCATAGTGCAATTTCTGATCGACCACGGGGCAAACGTCGCTGACGTGGGGCGGCCTCTCGGATCTCCACTGCATCTAACCTGTCTCCTTGGAAGTAGCGCTATGGTTGAGAAGCTCATACAACGTGGCGCCGATCTTGACGCTACGGCCGGATACTTCGAGAAGCCCGTTTTCGCTGCAATCCATGGCAAAAACGCAGACATTGTCTCGTTACTTTTGAAGCATACGCCAACCCCAAGCCATGTTCATACTGAATATTCCACCCCCTTACATTACGCATGTGCAGTGGATGATGCTGCATCTGTCCGCAAGCTACTGGAATGCGGTGCAGATGCTGCTATTGCCAACCGGCTTGGCGAAACACCGCTTACGATTGCGCTGCGCAACTTTTGTTCTGAATATTGGCCAGGACGCGATCGAAAAGAAACCTTTGTGGATGTGATCATCTCCATGGCAGAGTCACTTCGTGTCTCTGACCACGATATTGTCGCTGCATCTCAGCTCGGAACACTGGATTCAGAGAAAACTATTCGTCAACTATTGGATCTTGACAAGAGCGCGGCGTCTCATGAAGATACCATGTGCCACATCCTCACTTCCCGGTCGTATGCTGTTGCGGATACAATCAAGCTTCTCATGCCCCGCATGGGTGGGATCGGGGTGACTGACCGAATGCTCAAATGCGGCCCGAGCGAACAGGCCCTTAAAGCACTGCTCGATTGCACCCCTATGAGCAAGGTACCAAAAGACGTGCTTCTGGCGCAGGAGAACGTCGCATGCATGGAGCTCTTACTCAAGTTCGACAGCGCAGCTCCAGCTACCCAAGAGATCCTGCTGCGAGCCTTGGAACTGAAAGACTATGGAGGCGAGACCAAAAAAGGTGTCTTGGCAGAGTTATTCAAGCGAAATCCAGCCCTGTGCGTCACCCAAGACATGCTGCAAGCAGTAGACTCTGCAGCCATCTTGGAAATATTTCTCAGCCACTTCAGACCTGTGACCGGAATCTCCGAGGACACTCTGGGCAAAATATTCACCTCAGTACAGTGGCAGGTGCAAGAAACACTTCGTATTCTCCACCAGCACAACCCCAGCATTCAATTTAGCGACAAGATCGTTTTGCAGTCTCTGGAGCAGTCTTCTCGCCGGTTGACGCCCTTGAACTCCTTCTGGACCATCAGCCATCAATGGTTGTAACGTCTGAGGTATTCCTACTGGCTTGGAAGAAATCATGGGAAGATTCGAGACTGAAGCTTTCAAAGATTTTAGAAAAGCACGGAAAACGGGTCAAATTTACGGATGAAGTGAGAGCCGCCGTTGATCAGGTTTACCAACTAACAAGTGAAACCTCGAAGAAAGAGCATGTTTACAGGCTACAAGCACCGGACGAAGAACAGATTGACCATCCCGAAACCTATCCTATTTCGTAAGGAAGTACTTACTCCCCGTCCTCATAAAATGAGTCTGGGCGAAAGTGTTTGAAGTGAAAAATGGGGTGCAAGGGCTAGATATAATGGCGGCAAGGTGTATGTTTGGCAGTCCCTCCTTCGTTGTACTTATGTTCTTGTGTAAAATGAGACGAGCTTTGGTTTTGAACAACATCGCCGAATCCTGTTCTAGTCTTTTTTAATGTAAATTCCGATGCACTCATCACCCCGGGTTTCAATGTGACGTACAAGACGCCGCAAATTGTTCCACTGATTTAAGCGATTAAAGGTATTTTTCTTGCTTGTGCAAGCTGTAACGTGCACATGATCTTAGCCCTACATTGCACTTTGAATCATATCGGACTCAGATGACTGGACCTTATTTCAATATATAAGGTTGCGCCAATAAGGGTATTGCTTTCTAAGTATGCGCATGAGGGTAGAGTGCGCCTGGTCTACCAGTAGTAAGTTTCATCGATCAAAGTCACTGGGATCGGTGCTTTGCGTGCCATTTCGCTCACAATGCACCGCACCTTGTCAGTCATAGCTGCGGGACCACCGACGACAACCCCCGTATCTCCCTTGGCTTTTGCAATCTCCTCTTCCAGAACGTTGCGCAACTTGAACCTCTCGCCTACCAGGATGTCCGTGTCAATACGATCAAGGTCAACGATTTCGACCAGACCAGGACTCCTGCATGACCAGTACACCTTGGCGTGTCCTGGGTAGGCACGTAAAGCTGGTGCTACAGCTGTGATTGCCACACCTCCAACGATGCATATAAGAGTTTGATACTTGGTTAAGTCGGGGTATGGCAGATAGTCTGCTTCGACGAGAACGGGAAGTCGGGTCTTGTGGCGAAGCATGCCTGTGGCGCCGTCAAACGTTCGGATTAAGAAGGAAAGGCCAACATGAGGGGGTTCGTGGATGATGACCACATCGGCGGCTGTTGTGCTGGAAAGCTTGGATGTCGACCCCAGTGCCTTCTCGGTTGAGCTTCCCGAGGACGATCGCGGAGGATCCGCAGATCTCACTCTAGTTCCCATGATAGAGAAGGGATGACTTTCCCAGATTCTCCACGTTAGCGTCGGGAAGTAGAGATAGGCGTGTCCATGACCCTTTGCCCCTTCTATGTCAACTTGGATGTATTCGTCGTCAATGACTGTGACAACGGCTTGCCGCCAGCCATTTCTGGCCATTCTGGCAAGCCTGGCAACGCGGTCGAATCCCCAGACTGCTATAGCGATGTACATCCAAATCTCGTATCCCCATTGATGGTTGAAGCGGTATATAATATGCAGGTAGCAACCTACCACCGAGAAGACAGCAAGTACCATGTGCCAAAAGAAGAACATCTCGTACATCTTGGCACGGAAGGGAATGGCAGACGCTGGGAGTAGTAGGCCCATCGCAAGCGTTGCGATGATACCCCACACCCAGTAAGCAAGCTTCGATTCGCTATCATGCCATCCTAAGACGACATATATGCGAAGCCATATGATAGAGTGCATGATAGCTTGAAGGGTACACAGGTATGCAGTCCAACGATGCATGACCATGAATGTCGACTGTGTCCAGTCTGTCAACCAGTACAGAAAGTTGTTTCTGCCGGCATACAGGATGAGCAATGGCACGTTCGCGAAGCTGAGAACACCAGTGCGGTTGGCCACAGAGGTAAGGACTTCCTGTAACTGGTTGTCCCACCACCATGCATTAGGCTGAGCTGACTGGATATCTACTCCACTTAGAACGAAGTTGAGGACCACGACATACGCGATGAGCATCGCTTGGCCACGCGTTGGCATGATGAACATGTTGAAATAGGGCGCTTGGTGGCGGCTGCCGAACAAGGGCGGGTCTATAATAGCGGCGCTGACTTTGGCTTTGAAAAGCTTGGGCAATGGTAGGAAGCGAAGCCAAGAGCTTGCAATGGGGACAATGGCGCCCAGAGCAATGAGGACCAATCTGGAACCATGTAAGTAAAGTTTTCTCGAATCCAACGGAGAAGACATACCCATATTTCTCATGATGGGTTTCCATCCTCTCAAACATTTCCATTGTGTCATACTGCAGCTGATACTGGAAGTCGGCAACCAGAGCTGTCCGATTAAGGGGTTCTCCATATGCCAACGTCGAGGTGACATTGCCCTGAACCTGTGCGAGGGCCTGTTGGTAAGTCCACTTTGGAACCGGAGGTTTCGCAACAACATGAACTCCAGGTTCATCAAGTCGTCTGTGACTATTCCGGATGCTCGCTTCAGTCTTGTGCCAGTACTTCTCAATCTTCCATGAGGGAAGGTCGGTGCAACGCTACTACAGGTCAGTACAATTCTCGCTGTCGGACTCGCGAAAGATGTGACCAACCAATCGCAGGCAGAGGGCCATGGATGTTAGGAAGGCATCGTCAGTCGCGAAGCACTCGGGGGAGGTTTGAGGCATTGGCAGGCCACCCTCGATACCCATCGTGCTGCAATTCAGTGCGCTGCCGGAGAGCACAACGCGGCACGAGTAGGCGCAGAGGGGCTAAGCGCTGTCAGTTCTGAGTTTAACTCTTGAGGTAGACTCATGCTCACCTGGTACATCGTGATACCATAGCCGATGAGACCGTAGCCTGCTTCCCCCACCTCAGCGGCCATGCACACCTGCGTATGCATAGCCGCTAGGATAGGTACCAGGAGTTTCCTGAATGATGAAATCATAGCGAAAGCGAGAATGTGCTCAGATGATTATGGGGCAACTCGCTGAAATTGGACTGTGCTGTAAAGACTAAAGAACAGAATGCCCCAAGGTACTTCGAGATGAACCCAAACTACACGAGGCTCGACATTGTTTTACGACAATTCTGGCATGGTGTAGCTGCTCAAGCTCCGAGGTCATCATCTTTCACGCACAGCGGAGCCGACGGAGTTACAACCCTAAGCTTAGACGTGATTGGCCTCTGAGAGGCTTCGCAGCTTTGGCCAACTTGGCAGATTTTCGCGGTGAATGGAAGCCGACGCCTTTTCCCGGTCCCAAACATTGACTCGACATGAAAGTTTGACGGTTCCCGATTGACCGGAATCTTCGAAAACAAGTGCCCGGTATTACAAGGCCAATGAAATGACTGCCTCTGACGTCTTGATTGGCCGTAGCTGTTTGGCTACGGAATTACCGTTCACCATGCCATCTCCAGGATGATGCAGCTCGGTCGATGGGTTCTTACTCAACATCCATGAATGGATGCAAGTCAAGAGTGCCCTCCCGCTTAGAGATTCATAAATGAAAATGGGAAATGTGGCTATAGTTCATTCGCTTAGAATATTGAAACGTTGATTCTTGCATTGCGGTAAAGTACCTTGCGGAATCAGTTTGGTTGGCTGATGTAGTTGTGAGTGACCAACCATGTGCACCACTTCAGCCATCACTACGAGTCGCCTGAGCCAGAAACATAAGACACGGTCGACATAAATGTATGCAACGCTAGGTGGAATGTCTGCGCATCGATAATGACGTGACTGAGGCTGTAGCCTTAGCTGACGCTCAATGGTCTGTTGCCGTCTTCCACGTTCATGGTTGGACGTTGTGGCCCGAGGCGACAAGTCGACAACTTCAGTGCAAGATTGTCAAATGAACACAAAAGGCCAGCGCAAAGTGGTCTCATGCATTGCGTAGCAAATTCAACATCTCCTGCAAAGTCTGAAGCAGTACAATTGAAGCCAAAATGCTTTTTTTTAATGTTTATTTCCCCCCCTAGAGGCCCTCTGTGCAGATTGGATGCAGACAATTGCAGAAGTGATCTTGTGGTCATGCATTCTCAAGCTCGATAAACGAGACTGATTTGGTCTACTGTACAGATATTTTGGGGACTTTAGTTGGCCTTTGGGTTGCCTCCCCTTTCCTTCTGGTCCTCCTCGGCTCTCTTCTCCTTTTTGACACTCTTCCATTCCACGAGAAGCCCGAACGGGAACGAAATGGCAGCCAATATCATAGCCAGCATAAATGTTCTCGTGATGGCGTAGTTTACTCCATTGAGAGCGCTTTGGAACGCGGGTGTATTGTCTCCAAACATCGTTTGCAGCTTCATGCGCAGGTCTGGAGCACCGCCGTCCCCGTAGACAACACCGGCGAGAGACGGGCCAAGCGCCTTGACGAGCTCTTGTTGGATGACGCTCTGAGCAACCGGAACGGACAACGCAACGCCTAGTAATCTGGTGAAGAGCGTGAGACTTGTTCCCTTGGCAATCTTCTCGCTTGGCAACACAGTCTGGACGGCAACGTTTGCTTGCTCTGCACCAACTCCAACACCCGCGCCAACGAGAATTTGAGCGCCAATCCTATACAGCTCATTAGCCTATTATACCGGATTTAATCCGCAAACACAACTCGGAAACACTTACACCATTCCGAGAGTAGCATCCGGCTTAATGACCATGTAGAGGGCTGATCCAGCCGTGACCAACATTGAACCAACGATGATGAAGGGGTTGTAAAACCCGAGGGCGACGACCATTCCGCCGGCGACGATCGACGCAATGGCAGTGCTGATGCACAACGCTATCTGCTTGAAGCCAGATGACTGGGCACTGTCGCCATTGATAGACTGGAACCTGCATAGCGTCAGTAAAACCAATATGCCGGGTGCTCCAAGGCGACATACCAAACGGGTAGAAAGAAGATGAAGACACCGAAAGCTCCATTCAAAAAGAGCAGGTAGAGATTGGAGCCTGCGACTGATCGCTGCTTCAAAATGCTCAGAGGTACAGTAGCATCATCACCTTGGAAGTATTGTAA